AGAAAAAAAAAGGGGGGGGGGGGAAGATAAGAGTTTGGGTCTGTGTCATAGCATCAGAATAAAAACAAAAAAGAGCCAAAAACCAGGAACAAAAAACCAAAAGAGAAACGAACCAAAAATACATTTATGTGGGTATGCCAAACACTTCTTAACAAGGATTGATTTTCATCCTTTATCATCAGTTTCTTTATCCTAGGTAAATAGCCTATTTATATATATTTTTTTTTTTTATTCATATTTTTCTTGAGAGGATTTTTGGATTTGTTCATTTATTAATCTCATTTTACATCCACGAAGCAGCCTCTGGGACTTTTTGCTTTCTTTTGTTAAATACAATACGCAAGAACAAACTAAGGTCATATAGTGGAGCATTTAGTATTATAGTTTCTGCTGTCCTTGAAGGATCCTTTAGTTTTAAAAAGTCAAAACGAGAACGAACATCCTCCAACTCTTCACACCATAGAAGAATGTGCTCTCTAGATTCCTCCAGAGAACACAATGGGCAAAGCAGGTATCCAGTGGGGTCCAGAAGCCAAGGAAAATTCCAGTTTTAGGGGTGGCATTTTAATCACTTTTTTTAAAGTGCTCAACCCTCACTCATCTGCAAATGGATGAAAAGAGAATTAAATCAGGAGAGTTCATGGGGGAAAATGGGTCAAAATCAGAGAAAAAGGTTACATATTGAATTTTTATAACACCATTTTGGTCCTTTCCAAAATGAACAAGTGACTCCGAAACAACTTCCAATTTTCTACTATCATTCTGCAAAGCACAGCTTTTGTTGATAAGTCTCCAGAATTTGTCATTTTTGGTAACAAACTGTGCTCACCCTGTACATTAAAGATGATAGCATCCTTATTCATACCTGAGCCAGGTCACGTCTCCTGGTTTTCAACGTGTTTGTACGGATGGTCAGAGGTCTCCTGACCTCATTGGCTTCAAGGAATTCAACCAGTTCAGACAAGGGAAAGAGATCCATAAGGCGAGACATGAGGAATTCATTGTATCCATAATAGGCCATCAAGTCTTTCTTCAGCACCTCAAGATACTCCACTCTTGATCTAGAATGCCAGTCACAGTCACTATGAAGCAATGATGTTCTTGTTAGCAAATCAGAATTTCAAGTTTTTATCAGTTTGTTGGTAAGGCATAATTTTTGTTTTTGTCATATACTCATCAGTGGAAAATCAATTTATATGATTTTATTTTTATCAGGTTAGAATGTTTGTCATTTCTGTCACATCATGACTTGATACACACAAAAAAAGTAAACCACCCAAAATTTTGCTATAAAATCCATGTTTTTCAATCAATTGACATTAACATTTGATGAAATGTTGACAGTGTATTCTTCAAGAGCTCTTAAAATTAAATGTCCCCATGACAAACTGCTTGGGTTAGAACAGATTTGGTCAAAATGGTTAAATGTCTGAGTGAATAGGCATGTGATCTGCAAGGAAGGAACACACATTCGATTTTTGCTTAAAAAATCAGTTCCTGTGGATGGATCATCATAAAAACCTAACAGAACAATGTCACATGTTTTTTTTTTACTATCTGAACATATCAGACATTCCCATGTCATGATATTTTTCAGTGTGGGCACCTGTGTGTATCAATTAACTTTCAAAATCCTGCCTCTCTTTTTTGTCTTATGATGTCTCAGGATTGGTTGATAGCACAATTGATTTCCAGATACGAACAAACTTTTGCAGACAAAAAGCATCATTGTGATAATCTTGTATCTAGACCTGCAAGCCACAGAATGTCTGCGTGCTTGTGGGAAGGAGCTAATGCTCAATAGTAAGTCCTCTACAGCTTCAACATTATTCCTTCTGTCTTAGGGCAATTGCTCCAGAGGGGTCATAAAGACTTCTGTGTCACTCGACACTACACAATTAGTTGCATAATTTAGATTTATCAACCTGTCAGACTGTCTCCTGGTTTTGAAGTCAGCTAGGACATGGAGTATCTGCTGGATGCGTGCCTGAAGACTTGAGAGATCACTTCGAAGTTCCTCTTCATCTCCAGCATCTGGAAGAGAAAACTTCTCATCTTCCTCTTCTTGAACTTGATTCATTCGCAACTCTTCTTCTGCTAACCGCCTGAGGAAAGAAAGTTCATGATACAAACATGGTATGACTGGATACAATTTTGAAAGAAAAAATCTCACATTTTCTCAGCCAGTTTCTTATCCTGCTTCTGTGCAGCTCTCTCAATAGGAAGCATCTCCTCTTCCTCTCCATCTTCTCCTTGTGGTGCATCACTCTCATGTCCACTGTCACTTGAATCATGTACTGGTTGCCCTTTGGGTTTTAACCATATTTGGTTCTCATCAGTGAATCCCACCATGCCATCCTTTGCATCCAAAATGGCTTTCTGTTTCCTGTTCTTCCTCTTTGGCTCTTCTTCTGCTGATTCTCCATCTTCAAAAATTAACCACGTCCATTCAACTAAGGAAAGTAGCAGTGGTCTGAAAGATTTCTCCACTAAATGCAAGATTTACCAGAATCAAGAGGAAGTGAGCGCTTGGCAGCCTTGACTTCCTTTGCCATGGCAGACACAGCCATCTTTGCTGCACGCTTAGCAGCTCTTTTTTTGGCTCTCCGACTCACTTTGCTTTTCTCCCCCTTTTCATCTCTCCCTAAATAGGAAAGAGAATAAATTCACATCACTGGCACCTGTCACCCAGTGATGGGCTGTAACTGAGTAAAAGTAACACATTACTATAAATATGTCCCTTTTTTCAGAAACTTGAGCTGCACTTAGCCATATATAACAACAATTCCATATTATATTAACTGAAAAGGTGAACATTGTTGCAACGAATTGACTTTCCCTAGCACAAACAGGATTCCTTTTTTTTCTGTAATAATAAGCTCTATTCTTCCCATTAGCAGTTTGTCTATCATGTTCCAAGCAACACAATGCATTTTTTGCTGTCTACTGTGATTGGATTCTGCTAGTCCTTTTGGCATCCATCACTGTCAAACATTTTGAAAGAATGAACAATTCACAGAACAATATTTTTGCCATAAACCCACAATGAATATCTTTTTCATTTACAATTCATTAGTAAATATTCATTTAACTGAACCTGAATGAAGAAGAAACAAAAAATGACCAGAATGGATCACAGAAATAAGTTCAGCATTCCTCTTATTGTCAGTGCTGAATGTCTAGTACAGGATGGGGCATTTTCAGGTCAAAGCAGTCTAGGATATCTGATGAGAACCTCAAAAAACAGCTCTTACTTGGATGGACTAGTGACTTCATCATATTTTTTTTTTTACAAGGATTCAGATCGGGTTGTTTCTTTGCTGGACTCAATAAACAGAAAAAGGAACTTCATTTGCGACTATAACTTTACTAAGTTGCATTCTGCCAAAAATAACTTGGAGTTAGTACAGTGAACCCATTGAGCCAACATATCAAAATGAAAATGGTCTGCTCAAGGAGTGGTTCTCTCATTGGGGGTCCATTTTGAAATAAAGAACAGTCATTTAGAGGGGTGGTTAGGAGGAGGGGTTTCACTGTAATTTACCTATCACTGTTGAAACTGGCTGAATGAAAGCCTTAAATCAAATGTAACTAACCAAGAAGGTGAGCAGGAAACTGTGGTTCTTGTTGTCTCCGGCCCTTCTTTCCCTTTGTCTTCTTCTTCCTCACTCTGGCTGTCTTGTCCTCAAGTTCTGGCTCTCCTTCATCAACTGGTGTGACGTGCCACTTTCCCTTTCTACCCATATTTCTCCCTTTTCACCAAATAAACATTAGTTCCAACAGAAAACATTAAATTAAAGAGCAAATTAAATTAAATTGAAAAGCATCTTCATGATGATGAATGCTGACAAGTCATAAAACAAATCATGACTAATGGGGTGGGGATGATATTGGATTGAACAATATCACACCCTGAGCTGCACTCCATTCCCCAAAACTTTCAGCAGATGGAATTCTTAATCCTTTCCAGCTCACATTGATACCCAATGAAAATTTGTTCAAATAAATCATTAGTATAAAAAAAAGGAGGGATACCATATCACAGAGGACACAACAGAGGCAGAACCAAGCTCCACTGATATCAGTCCATTGTGAATATGCGATGAGCAATATCTTGAATGAGCCAGTTGATGGCACTGACAAGTTGTTCTCCTGTTACTGCACTACAACCCACAATCTGCCAGTGATGAGTTGTGATGTCATTCAAGGAGAGGATATCTCTAATGTCAGAAGGTGAAACAGCACCCTGAAGATCTTGCTTGTTTGCCAGGACCAGAAGACTTGCACCAGCCAATCTTTCTTCTTTCAAAAGAGACTGAAGCTCTTGACGACAGTCTTCTAATCGCTGAAGGTCAGAGGAATCCACTACCCACACCAGGCCATCAGTGCTCTCAAAATAATTACGCCAATATGACCGCAGGCTCCGCTGCCCACCAACATCCCAAATGTTAAGCTGAAAGCCCTGGTGCTCAAGGGTCTTAATATTGAATCCCAGTGTTGGTGAGATGCTCTCGATCTCTTCACCACTAAGACGCTTCAAGATGGTTGTCTTCCCAGCATTATCCAGGCCAAGGAGGAGCAACCTCATCTCTCGCTCCTTCTGCTTCATCTTCTTTAGAATAGTCAGCAAACCCATCTTTCTTTACAACAAACCTACACCATGAAAAGAGCATGAAAAAGGGGATGAAGTAAATTTATGGGAGGGCGATGGGAAGAGTTCAAATCTGCATCAGTGAAGAAGTGATGTTCCTTGAGTGAGGTGGGATGCAAGCCCTCAACCTCTTGGATATAGCCAAGAAGTGCAATATCATCATATCCCGAAATGTGACAAATATTTTTTTTTTATATATAAACACTTAATAATGGAAGACAACTTTTTATTGTGCCAAAGTATTTGCACCATTCATTGCAATATAAATACCTTGGAAATCACAGATCAGAAAAACTTCTAGGCTGAGCACTTGATAGATCATTTTCAAAACAGATTACATCAAAAGAATCTGTGGCAGAAAGAGTCATACAAAACTAAAGGCCCAGATACACTTGGCAGATTCATGCTAACAAATTGGCAAGTGTGGGGTTACATTAAATAAATCCTTGCTAGCAAGGACTTGGAATATACTTGCCCCAAAATGGCAGCCATACATTAATGGCACCCCCAACCATTGAATGTTGCCTTGAAAGCAATGGTTATAGAGAGAGGCCTTTACAGTATTCAGTCATGCTGCATCACTTGCTTGACAGACAGTCCCAAGGTTGGGGATAGATTCTCTTATGTGTGACAGCAAAAACATTGTGTATCCCATAGTTGTTCTCTTCAAAAGGCATTCTTCCAACCCCATCTCCTCCACTTCCGGATAATGGAGTATCTCATTTTCATCTCATCATGAACTTATGCATTAAATTGTTATTTTCAACTTTCATGAAAGGAGTTAAAAAGGTTGAAAAGTTGAAAAGATCCAAACCTCTGGATCTTACTACCAAGACCCAGCAGCAAGTTTGTAAAATTTCAACTTCATAGCAGGTACTCACCAAGTGTATCAGGGCTTTAACCTCTTCAGATTCCTGATCAATATGGAGTGGATTTTGGATCTGCTATATTGTGCAGGTATTATACTTTGTCTAAGCAGATAAGAAAAAAAATTTCCAAGGAAAATAATTAATAAAATAAAAAAAAACTGCAGATTTAAAGATGAAATAAAATATTTGTAAAATCATATTCAAAATATTCATGTTTTTAAATGTATATTTGGAAAATAATTTTAAATAAAAAATTTTTAATTAATCAAATTCCTGATCTGCTTTGGTATTACATTTCCACAGGCATACTGGTGTGTGCTTTTGTTTTTGACTATGCCTTCCATGAGGGATATTTCTCAGCTATCGCAAACTATGAAGAAAACCTAATTATCCTCAACAGAACCTCTTTGGTGGTTGTTATGATATCATATAATGTTCCTAATCTCATAGCTCCAAATATTCAGTCAAATTTAATTTTTTTTAATTCCCATGTATACTTGTGTTAATAAGGCATGCAGCAAGTCTGTAAAAATGTTACAGATAACTGCTGAAAATTCATGGGAAAATGACCAACATATTGGACCAGGGATCTAAAAAGGTCAGGTAAGGCAAAAAAAAATTGCACATATCCACATCAAGTGGTTCTGGCCATTCTTACATTGGCCCATTAACTATAAAATATTGGATATCCCTCTGCTGAAACCTAAAGAAGCCCATAACATGCACAGTTAGGGTAAGGCCAATCATATGATGGGAACTCCATCCTATCCACCTGATAAAAAGAGAGGATAACATCACAAAAAAGCAACCAAGACAATGCTGCACTGAGTGAACTTAAACTTGGCTTACAATAAGTAAATTTATAATTAAAAAATTTGGTGAAATTCACAAAAGAGGATGCTCCTGAGGCAGGAGTACACATTATCACAACTTGGCAAAACTGCTATTGTAAAACACACCATACCTGTAAAACTAATGTCTCTGCTCATGTAGCCACCAGCATGTTAGAATCACAGTGAACCCTTGTCCTCCATTGACTTCTCGAATGAATCATGGAGCTGTAATGAAATTAAGGTAACAATAGCATCAATGAATTTATTTTCTATATTCAGAATTGAAAAAACTTAATAAGGCAAATTTTACATGTGGAAGGGTTGCTAAAAGGTTCTGTAAGGCACTACTTGATGGGAGATGGAGAACCCAATCTCCACCATTGCTTTCTTCATTAATCTCTTCTCCAGCCCATACCTATAACAATAAACAAGAATGATTCAGTCAGCACTACAAAATCAGTCATTGGATAGAATCAGAGACATGTAGGGGAAGTATCAACATCAGTACAGATACTAACCAAAGTACAGCAAAGGGGGTCAGATGTGCGAGAAACTGAGATTTTCTCAAGAAGAATTATCTTGTTTCGAGCCAAGGTCTTCCATGGTGGAATGGCAGAGGTCATGACAAGCAAGGAAGGATACACAAGCAGTAAAGCAGAACCTTCATCCTGCCCTTTCTCCATAAGCTTCTGTTTTTCCTCTGAGGATTCCTGGCATAGAACATGGAAATAAGGGGGAAAATGGTACATAAGGAACTATTTTTAATGCAATGGGTTTATTGTCACCTGGTTCAAACATGACTGGAATGCCTGAAGCCACTCAGCCACATGAGAGCCAGCATCAGACTGAGGCTCACAATAGGGAGACAGACTCAGAACACCCAGTGATGTCTTCAACTTCAGAATCCCTTCATCTGAGGCATGAACATCATTGATGTGTGAAAGGGAAAGGGAATACAATGGTGTATGCCTTGCATTCTGGCTTATGACCAAGTGTCCATGGCTGAGGGAAAAAAAAGTAAGATTCCAGAGTTCAGGTCTTCATTCCCTCTCTGGAAGCTCCAAAAGAGAAGAGTGCAACAGCTCAGACCGTATTTCCAAATAGGCAAGAGGCCACGGTTCAATAATGGGGGTGGATGGAAGTCTGATATACATTGGCCCCTCCTTGATGATGTCTCCATCCTCATCCAATGAATGAATCCTCACCCAACGTATCACCAGTTGAATGTGCAAGGGTTCTTCTTCTCCCATTTCCTACATGCATGAGTAAGAAAGATTTAATAATTTCAGGCCTTCCAAATTTTTGCATCCAGTGACATAAAAAGATGTGACCCTTTTCAAGTCAACCACCCACAGGATCAATAATGGACAGGGAGCAGAATTTATAGCATGGTCTTACTACAGAACCCCTGAAAGAATAATTTGAATTACCTATGTAGAGCAATACATTTCAAAGGGAAATTATGATTAAAAAAAGACTCCAAAATGCACCTAGACATGTTAGCATCATGTAGGACCTTTATTTTCAACCTTCAGTGCTTAAGCAGATCCATGAACTGATTCCCTAACACTAACTGTGATTGTAGATATTTCACTACTTTGGTGAGTGTTCACATAAACACAGGAGGGATGATAATTTTTATTTTTGATGATTTCTTTATCCAACCATACATAGCTTTGTTGGGTCTTCCTCATCCCAATCACCATTCTCTCCTGCTGCAATCTTTTCCAATTTCTTATCAGATTATAAAATACATGTAGGGAGAAGGGAAAGAGCAGCAGAAGCACTTGAGCACCACATGTTACCAAAAGTGATGCCTCAAGGGATTTTTCTAGGAAAAAGTCAGTGGTACCAGATGGTGCAATATGATGCTGCAAATGGAAGAAATTAAGTTAGTAACAAATCAGTGTTTTTGATAAAATAAAAAATTATCATTAGCCATCTCAATGCATCTGTTTCATAAAGAGCCTATAAAATTGCTATTAAGCACATGTGAAGGCTAGAGATGTGGTGGATGACTTTCAGCCTAAAGAGCCATTTTATCATATATTTTATTTTCCATATTTGGAGGCCAAAATCTGTCCCTTATCCAGAAAATCCATCCTTTGTGATTTTCTGATCATTGTAGTCAAAGATGAAGCTCCTCATGCAAAAACAGCTCCCTGATTATGCAGAATTTCACTGTAACATATTTTTTTGCTTGCATGATGGAAGTAAAAATGTATTGGGATTATTGCAGAAGAAATGAATTATTTGCTTTTCACCCTTCTGTCATACTTTTCCAGTTCTGCAATTATACTGTACTGCTAACTGAGCCATATCTCAGTTCTCTTAGGTCATCAAAATCTACCTCTAATAATAAATGTGAATGGCACAGAGAGTAATGAAGACAAAGATACTCACCTGAGAAAGACCAGCTAGTCGGGAAGTTGTGAGAAGAGAAAAGAATGATATGAGTGGCTGAATTTTCCAGGAAATATAACTGACTAGGGCACTGGTGAGTCCTTCATCTCCTGTCCATAAGATCCAGGCCCTTTTGCCAAACACCACCTTCAGTCCTTGATATTGAGATTCAACCTTCCAAGAAAAAACATGATCTCCATGATGTTTGTCAAGATCAAGCTTGAAAATTACCATACAGGGGACCAACCTCAATGTGTGTGATTTCTTCAAATGGAATCCTGTCTCTCTCCAATAGGTTGAGCTCAAGGCAGGTGACTTCCACAGGTATCCATATAATTTCCTTCTTATGTTTCTCTAGAATTCCCATCAAATGAGTTCCATGCAAGAATTCATATTGACTCCATGGATCAATCCTATGATCAAATAATGCATGTTCAATGGATGCACTTGACTTCGATGGAGCAGGCAAAGGGAGTAGCCAAGGTGGCCTGTGGGTTCCCATGAAGCGTCTCTTCCCACGAGAAATACCATGTTGAAAGACTTCTCTTTTGGCCAGGCGGAGATCACGTTCGCTAATAGCTCTGAAGAGGTTGGGCCAGGATTGACCCACAGAGTTCCTTAAATTCAAAGTGGACTTGACCACAGGAGGATCTTCCTGACCTTCAGGTACTCCTCGCTCTTCAATTTTCAATGTCTCTTTGAACACAAGAGCACAGGATTCTATGTCTTGCCCGGCCCAGCTGCGTCGTGATTCCATCCATAGTTTTGGGTGAGTCACTGATTTGAACATTGACAAACTTTTTGTGCTCTCCTCCTCTCATGTCAGAATGTTGTACACATCTCTAGTACAATGCTATGTAATTATGGCTGCAATGAAAGGAATACAATTCTGTGCATGAACAGCAACAAAAAAAAACCAATGTGCTCTTCTGGAATGGGCCTACTCACCACAAAAGATCTTCCTTATTAACTCTTCAATGTTAACAGCAGATATAACCAGTCTTACAATTCTAGAAATTGTTGGGTGAAATGGAAAAAGCCACCACATATAACCAACATATTATCAACAAGGAGTTCTTTCCTCAAGTACTATCTCTCAATAACTTCAATCTAGTTCTAGATGAGAAATTATGACATGAAGTGCATGCCAACAATAATTTAAACATTCTTTGCTTTTTAGAACACAAATCAACAATTATATTCATCATTTATGGAAAAAAACTAAACTTGTTTGAAGTGAGATGCTAGTTCAGAGATCACATGGATCAAGACCCTATCACAGGTCCCCTAGCATTCTATGAAGAACAATATTTAACTGGATCTCCAACTGGTATTACTCAGCAATTTCTGTAAAATGTACACACTCTCTCTTGCATTAAAATGCCAACTGAATATTTTTGCTTATACTGAATTTAAAAATCAGCAGTAATTGGAGCATAGTGAGTCATATAGAAAGTAATATGCTAGAGGTCACTAGGTCCATTTAATGACTACTGCCACATTGTAGAATCAAGACCTATTCCCTATGGTCACTGGGAATTGGTTACTTCTTGTTACCTTGAAAACTTTCCAAGTATATATTTAAATTAATGGCATTCAAACTTAGGAGATGTTCAGGCCCAGATCAAATATCAGCTGAAACTCTACCATAATCAATAAATGGAAAGGTATATGTTGGGCATGGCTAGGCCAGAGACATATTGACTCTTCTATAGGGTGGGGTGAAAAAAGGTAGTTCTTTTTCATTTGATTGCTAAATTCATAATCATTAAGTGTTCACATAATTCAAAAGAAGGATAGTACTGCTCTTTCCCAATTGTTCCCAAGATAGCAACAACCATGAAGTTAGAATTGAAAATGCCTATAGTTAAAGACAGTGATGTTCAATATATCTTCTTATGCATTGACAACCACTGCCAGCCTAGCTCACTACTGCCGTATTATTAGGAGCCTCTGTTCAAAGGATGTTCATCCTAGCATGTGACGGAAAGTAATGTGCAGACAACTGCAACATTTTTTATCATGTGCAGTAGAAAAAGTATGTAGACACTATTGCTTGTATTTCCTCTGAATATACTTGAATACCTGAAATGTTCTGGGCCACCTTGTATCTCTACCCTTGGCAAAAGGCTTCCAATCACATCAGTCTGCTTTGGTATTAGTAGATTAACCAAAGATAGAATTTGGACTACGTGAAATGGCTTTCTATGCATACATAGTCTGAGTTCTGTAATGTCTAATATGTACAAGTTTACAGGGCAGGTATTTGTAATATCAGACTTATTAAGCATATCAAGAATATTGAGTGAAAAATATTTGCTTCATAAATAAGATTGTCTTCATGCTTGTATTTGAAAAAATAGACAGAATGGAATAAAAATGGTCACAGTTTCATTCCTCATTTGAGTCGAGCATAATAAAAACCATCTCATGATAACTCTACTAGAAGAAAACACAAAGAGAAACCAACATTTGCAGAAATGACCATGATTCCAGCAAAAGCAAGAATAGGAAAAATGAAAAAGCCCTCTGGGATGCTTGCACACACATTCATTTAACAATTTCCACTTCAACCCACTGAATAGGAAGGATTCATCAACATATATAAGTGGGCTTGCACTTTGACTAACAACCCAAAGCTGAAAATTGGTATCAGAAGAAAAGCCAACACCATAATGGAGATTTCAGAAGGTTTGACAGAGAGGATGGCTCATGAGAATTCAAAATAACTTCATTGCCTCTGAAAATGGCCCCCATCAGGAGCCAACCACATATTCAACATCATCTAGGCACAGTTAGAAAAAACAAGGCCTGCAGATATAGGAATGGTATCAAATATAAACCTCCCATCCTCCAAGTAATATAATATACCTGTACAACACAATTTGTACATGTTTTAGATTCAAGTCCAAACATCTGGGCAACCCCTTGGTCACTTAAGAATTGCAATCTTCACCCCAGGAGAAGCCATGGAAGAATATTGAGATCATTGCCTTGCCATGAAAAGTTAATAATAAAAAATCAGATGAAGTTGCAGCAGCACTCTCAACTCATTTATGTCTAAAGATACTGGGAACTGACAACTTTCATAGGGTTATCAGGAAAAATGGGAGCAGAATCTGTCTCTCAGAGAAGTTTCAATTTCCTGAATAATGAGAAGATATGCATGTGGGAAAATGAAAAAAGAATATATAGCTACATGTAGTTTTTCTTGGCTCAATTCATTTGACCTTGTGATCACTCAATTATGTTCAAAGGTCATGTTCTGAATCACACATAGTATCTCCATTCACCTCATCTCTCAACTTCAGAGAAATTGTGGAGAGGTTTCTTTTCAAGTTAGATATTTCAGTAGGGAAAAGAGTGCTTGGGAACGAACGTAACAAGTAATGCATATTACTCATAATCAAGTACAACTTTCAAAAGTTTTCATCCTTCTGTGTTTGACAGAATCCAAATTCAAAATGTCCAGAAATCCATGAGTAAGAGAACACAATTCAGACATTAAAAACTTGGAATACTGCAATTTTTTCAGTTCATGGGGCAATTAACAATACATTGAATTTAATTTAGAAAATGAATAAAATTTACATTTATGTGCTAATCAATAGCTCACCTTAAATGGACTAATTTTATTCATAATCTCTCTTGAATTGCAAAAGATCACTGAAACCATTAAAATTGTTCAGTATTGCCAAAAGAGGATTAATCAAGTGAAATGCTGAGGCCACTATCACTGAACTGACTTTTTCCCATTGCAATAAATAGAACTTGAGGGGATGACCCAGTAAAAATGTATTTCAATGGTAAGTTCTGGAGTTCTGGATAGAGCAATAAATTTTAGGGGCTTAGTTATTTAAGAATGCTTTGAAATAGGTCTACACCATATAGAATGCAATCATCACAGAAGTCTGAGGTTACTCAGTAAGTGTCCACCATTTATGCATACTTGTCCACATTGAAAAAATTGGAGCTTCTTCAAACTGTCTCATGTCTGCTTTCTCCTATGACAATTCCTTTTACTATGAAATGAAAACTTCTGATTGGATTGCTATGGAATTTTATATAGTACCTGGTCCCAACTGGTCCAGCAGCAAGACATTATAATTAAAAATTGGAAAAGCATAATGTTAAACCTCATGTTATAAAAGTACCATTATCCATATAATGGGATCTGATGTCACTTGCAGTGCTTACATGATGGTGTTGAGGTCTTTCCATATGGCACAGAGAAATGTGTGTGAAATTTCTGCAGGAAATATTAGCATAATTATGATTACCATATCAAATATCCTGAATGAACTTATGTATTCAAATGCCATGAACCTAGCTGAACACAGCATTTAAAGAAATGCCTGAGACACATGAAATAATATGAACCACATATCAACATCTGTTGAAAAGAATCCCAGTCTCCAAAAAAGATCAATTGAAGACAACTCCTGATTGCCTACATGAAATGAGTTGAGAGTGCTAGCTGTAACACTTGGAAAGATAGTAAAATCCTCAATGCTAACATGACCAAGTTTAATCTCCAACAGCACCTTGGAATGGCTTGATGTCTTCCTCATTAGTTACTTCTTGAGGCACATTCTCTGATTGGGAGGAACCTGAATCGGGCATGCCAGAATGACTATTTTTCTGGTGGATACGAACATGCTTTGAGAAGTGATCACTTCGCATGAACCGCTTATTACAGATGGGACACTGAAACCTCTTCTCACCAGTGTGAGTTCGGCGGTGGCGGTTGAGCTCATCAGAGCGAGTGAAGCTCTTCCCACAAAATAGCCAGTTGCAGACAAAAGGCCTCTCCCCAGCATGCCACCTGAGATGAGCTCTCAAATGAGATGTCTTTGAATATACTTTTTTACAGCCTGGGATGTGACAGATGTGCAGCTTGGGTCCACCTTCTATGGATTTGTTCACTCCATGGACACAATTGGGACAGGTACACTGCATTCGTTTTACTTTGGTCCTTGTCTCATTGCCTGTCCCTGTTGCAGAAGCACTTGTTCCTTGACCAGTGAATGTACCCATAACATTCAATCTATTGGTTTCTACTTGTATTGGCTGCACAGCATGCTGAAGTGAGATTCCACCTTCTGTCTGAGTTGAAACAGGAATCACTTGTATTCCACCTAAGTTTTGCATGACTTGAGTCATTTCTCCAGGCTTTTGAGCACTTGCCACTGAGACCAGATTTGAAAGTGGAATTACACTGATCTGTCCACTTCCAATGGCCTGCTGAAGAGTTGATAGTTGGGTTAAATCCACAGTTGCAGTAGTCTGACCAGCATCATGGTGCTGTAGTTGTAATGTGTCTTGCTGTTGAGCTTCTGCTTGAGCATGCTGATGATTTGTGTCTTGATGCTGTATTATATCAGTACCACCAGAGCCCACTTCACTACCAGCAACCATATGGCTGGTGGATTTTTCATTAGTTTGTTCACCCTGTTGATGGTCCTGTGTAATATAATTTTGACTCGCTCCTTCTGGAGTCGAGCTGCTGCTAACATGACTACAATCAGAGGGTGAAGAGGATGGGCTTTGACTCACAGACGGTGTGGTGGCAGTTGCAGTGGTCCAGGTACATGTTGTTGCTGATACTCCTGTTCCTTGTAGAACTGATGAGGATGAGCATGAGGCGGGCACTACCAAAGGCGATAGGGTCACTTGTGTCCCTTGAGGAAGTGCTATTGGAATTGCTTGGGTCTGTCCATTTGGAAGCTGGGTCACAACAACCGGGTTCACTGTGCCTGGGTTTGGCATTTGGATCATCTGGGCAATCACCTGCCCATTTGAAGTCTGCACCAATGTTGGAACCCCTGCTGGAGCAGCCATGGCATGAACAGGAACATGTATTGTCTGATACACTGTCTGTCCTGATATGGACACAGGAACCTGCACTTGTATTGTTGATGAAAGGGGCATTTGCACTGGGATGACATTTGAACGCATGGGAATCTGCTGAGATTGATTCCCAAGAGTACGAATCACTTGTCCATTAGCCATCACCACTGCCTGACCTGCTGTCATTTGGGGTTGACTGGCTGCAGAAATGATAAATCCTTCCTGACCATTTATTGTGATGGGCTGAAGAAACTGAGGGTTTAGAGTGAGAGTGGGAATCCCCGAATTCGGACTTGATTGCTGTGTGGGTTGGATCTGAATGACTTGAGCTTGACTTCCAAGTGACGATACTGCCAAAGTTCCACCACCAGTTCCTGCACCTGGGGAGAGGAGACTGAATGCATGTGTCTGTTGCTGTGCCTGCTGCACTTGAGCCTGAGTCAATTGAGGGTCATTTGCCATGACACTACCCTTTTCACCAGAGGCATTGTCCCCCTCTCCTCCTTGGGAAGCAGCTATGACCTGATATCCACCTCCTGCCACAATCTGAAAACTGTCTGTCCTTTCAGAGGACCCTTCATCCTCTTCTTCATCTTCTTCCTCTTCATCATCATCTTCTTCCTCCTCTTGTTCTTCAGCTACTGGGAGTCCAGGATTTCCATCGATTTTACTACATGCTGCAGCAAGGATAGCCAAAGGAGCATGGCTTGCATTGGATGTTGCCTCATTCATTGTGTTCACTAATGCATAACTTCCTTTGCAAGTTTCTCTCTTCTCTGCACTTGAAGGAGAACTATCATTCATCGAAGAGGCTTTCTTTTCCTCTGATTTTGTAATACTGTACCTGTGTTAGAGGAAGGTTCGAAGATTATGCTCCTTCACAAATTAAAATTAACTATCTTAAATTCAGCACTTTCAGCAGAAAAAATAATAAAGAAACTTATTGTATCCTGAGCAGCCCCAACCTCTTGTAACCAATGCTATCACATGGACATTGAGAGAGGGGTGATCAAGAAGGAATTCTCCATGGATTATTATGGATCATTCCTGAGTGAAATTCCATATTGGAGTAGGGAATTAGAAGCATAAAAAGGATGGGGAGTTGAGACCCACAAGGTTGTGGGTTTGAGCCTCATTGTGGCCAAAACTCTTACTTGCATGAATATTTTTTAAATACAGCTTACTCTACAGGATGTTCCATTTAAAATTACTTTTTTTATTCTGAATATCTCAGCTCTTGTTCAACACAGTCATGAACTATAGCTAATTTGATAATACAATTTTTCTTAAGAATTTATCTGAGCTACAGCTGACTTTCACACTCTGTGTCAAAAGTTATCATAGGATTTGTGAGTTTACATTTTTTGCTGCATTTAGCAAAAGCAGAAATTCCTCATAATACCACTTTTACAAAATTCAAAGTTTTTTTTTAAAGACGTGACAGACATGCACAACAACGAATGCATTTTACATTACACATAGAGGAAGGGGGTGCTTGCTTGGCATGAGCACCACAACTCAATCGCAGTCCCTCTCTGGCTGGGACACCCCTCTAGGGTCCTGTAGGAGGAGGAAGGGCAGCTCATGGGTTGCCTACACCCATGACTGGCATGAGTAGTTTTTAAGGTACACTGCACCTGCATCTCCTAGGTGTGGCACATAAGGCATGTGTGTTATTCCATGCTAAGCAGACACTCCCCACAAAAGTAGGTGGGTCGCCTGTTGATGGAGGAAGATCCTGCCACCACACCGACTCGATCCTTCACCTCCCAGGTTTCATTCGGAAACCAGAACCACTTGGCAACCAAACTCCAATAAAATTTGAAGTTCACACACAATTCGAAATCTGTTCACCACATTAATTTCCACGTGTCCACCATTCTTATCAACACATTTCTGCAAATTGGCACCATTATTCAAGGACAGGCTGCTGCCACATATCAATCGTGACAGAGTTGAGCACCTGCTTGATTGCTGCCTCAAAGCACCCCTACACCTCAGTGGTCCACTTTATTTCCTGATAACAACACATGTGCAATGGCCATTCTTGAACAGAGTACCACAGAGCCATTATAGCAGATATCATAAGAAAAAGACACCAAAAGTTTGTGCCAAGAAAAATGCAAATTTTAGGTACTACAACTCAGTCAACAGCACCACAATGTCACATTGAGATGCAAGTCATGATTCTAATAAGCATGAAAAGGCACTACAAGAAATATACCATAACTTTTGATGTACTGAGACTGAGTCAACCATAGCTTGGATAAATTCTTAAAAAATTGTCTATCAAATAAGCTACAGTTCATGGCTGTTCATTAAACAAGAGCTGGGATATTTAATTTAAAAGAGTAATTTTAAACAGAACACTTTGTTTATGCTATATTATTACAAGTGATGGCAAATTACCTGACAAAAAAGTTAGCTCAACATTCAAGTTGGAGGATTCCATTTACTAACAGTTCCGTTACGTAACAAAATCATCTTTCACCTGAGATACTGATATCAGGGCATTATATACCAAACTATGGTTGGGGAAAACCCAAGGAATTCAGCATAGTTCAGAGAAACTGTTTTCCTCTAATGTAATTCCCATGGTCAGAAATAAAGAAATTGTAACTCCTTCTTTTCAATGAGACCACCAAGTCAGCTCCATCATATAACCCAGGGGGTGTCCAACTGGTGGCCTGCAGGCCAGATCCAGCCCGCAGATTCCTCTTTAACAGTTGATTTAGGAAAATTGCTGCAAATTTCATTTGATTGCATTTAATATGTGGTGTGAGATTCATTAATGAGGCCCCCAAGCACACTTGAACGAAATCATATGATAGAATGGATCATACCTACTGTTGGTATATAATCCATCATTAATTGGTCAGCAACTTCATCACTAAGTCTCAAATTTTGTATTTCAACTTTTTGATACCTCTATTGATAAACTTAATAATTCTTTAATACTTAAGGGAAATCTTTTGGTCATATATTTGTTTGAAAATATACTGAGAATCTCATCGGGCCATTGACATCCAATGAGAACTGCTTTGAAAAGCCCTTGTAGAGAAATTCCAACAAATATTTCCAAACTTTCTTGTCCACGATCATGGATATGTGCACCAAGCCACTTTACACTTGCCTGACAGGTGAGAAAAGCTATTCATTCATTAGAAGAATTCTGTTGGTGCTAACAACTTATCCTTGGACTCTCTCCTAGACATTAGAGTAATGTACTTTTATTTTTTTAAATAATATTGTCCCATTTCTTGTATTTCGGTCATTTGAAATTGGTACTTGTTCTGACATTGATACTGAACTTGAATGCAACAATTGGAGAAAAGCTGGGGGAATAAATAACAGAAATTCATATGGATAGGTGGAAATAGAGTTACAGCTATGAATGATCAAGGAGTTGAGTCGAGTTATACTTCATTCATAGCTTCTAAATAAGGACACGCTTTGGCTTCTTTTTGAATAGCATTGAGCATTAAAAAATTAGAGCAGAAAGTATTATTAAAGACTTATAAACCAGTACACCATCACTAGCAACTGAAGCTACTTCATCTTCACTTCTCTGAGTTAACAATCTTCATGTATTGCTGTCCCAAGATGTAAAGCCCCAATAAAGAATCCCTGCATTTAAAGATGTTAAGACCTTCGCATGAACTCAGTTTGAACTAGGGCAGCCATTTATTTGGTCACTACTGTAATAAATCCAGGTCTTGCTGCTGCCAGTCATACTACACTTCCTATAGGTTTACATTAGATGATATCAACTCACCATAAACCTTTGATGATCTTAGTGATGACGAGTGTGATGGGTATACAGACGAAAGTGTGATGGGTTAAAATGGACATTAGCATTGGCCTAACCTATTTTATTCTTACTATTAGCACAGCCCTAGGCCAATCCAATCACATCACCTGACGTGTCGTTCGCGAATTGCGCTACGCGTAACCCTTCACAATGAAAGGATATGGGACCTAAACTTGAGCCTACAATTCAATAGACAACGTTTAAGTCATGTCAGCAAGGTCTGGCGTAAATCAAGCAGTATCAAGAGTGGCACAGTCCAGCGTTCTGAAATCCAGCCCACGCCCAGAATAGGTCTATAGAACTAAGCCAAGGCCAACGTAGACATAGTAAGACAGTATGATATTCCAGTGTACGGAGCCATGTTGTACCAGTCGAAGTGCTCGAGGAGGAGCGCCGAGAGCATCTTCGATATGACGGTTGAGTCTGAACTCATTTTGGTCGAGGGAGATCTCTACATATTAAACACCTTGTGCGACGGATTTCCTTTTTTCTGGCAGGAAGAGAAAATGAGCCCTGGCTTCTCTTTATTTTCTTTGCATTTTACTTTTTCCTTCTTGTGCAACTCAAAACCATTATTGCCGATATCAGTTTTTGCAGGAAGTGGAAGTTGTTTTTTTGAATAAAAATTTCAAGATGGCTGCTCTCACTGTTCAGATTGATGACTCACAATGTTTATTTCTTTCATCATGTGCAACTAAGTACCAGGAAATGCGATTAAGGTACATATAAAAGATAAAAATTGACCCCCCTGGATCAAAATTCCGCTCTATAATTATTGTTAGGGACCTCGAAGGAGGGCCCAAGAGCCACTTTTCGAGACTCTAAGGTCACCGGTGTGGCCAGAAAGTAGGGTCAAAGGTCACGATTTCGATGGGTCTCTTCAGAGGCGTTTATTTCCGGCATCGTTCTACGCAGAACTTTGAAATTAGTCTCATTCTCTTCCTTAGATTCTACTCTAAACAATGATGTAAATTTCTTGATGATGCTACCACGGGTTCGGGATGGGGAACGAATTTTGCGAAAATCTCGTCTCGTCGCGCCTCACGTTTGCCCCTCCCAAATCCGTCGTAGGCAACGCATCGAGAAATCCATGCATACGATTTTGCATCATGACCAGTTGCATCTTCATGCAAAGTGGCGTTCAAATCTTATAGNTCCCCCCCCCCCCCCCCCCCCCCCCCCCCCCAGCTTTTCCCATCCACGCTATGCTTATGCAAAAATAAAGATGGATATTTTTTGTGGGAGCATACTTACAGTATTTCCTTGTCCATTACTTCTACTGGGGCACAAAGTCACTTTATCCCTGAACGAATTATTTCCTTTTTACGCGTTTAATGCGTAATTTTCTCTCTGTTTTCAGATGTATTGGAAGCAAAGCATTGGATGCCTAACCTAGAATTTGTCTGCTTCCATTTGATCCCATCATTCATTGATCAATAATTGTGAAGTTGGCAGACACCAGTCGCTTCACCATTGAGCAGAGACTCCTAGCAGCTTGTTGGATGCATGCTGGATGGATGTTTTCTCAGACATAACCCCTAGCATGTTGCAAAAAAATGTATCGACGTACCTGGAGGAGACTTCAGCTGTGCAAGGACAACAATGGTCAGCATACGGATCCTCCTGTTCAGGAGTAAACCAGGAGTAAAGT